ATAGTAGCGGGACCATCACAACATTTAAGAAGTATTTAGATGAACACTTAGAAGTGCCATTGCTCACAGAAGGCCACAGCTCAAGTGCTGAAAAATAGGAATGGAATAGACAGATGATTGAGGACAGAGAGATGCAATGGGCCAAGAGCCTCTTTTCAACTCTGTGATTCAATAAATGACCACAAATCTCTGAACATAGCAAGTCAGGTTGATATGATGGTTAAGAGGAGACATAGAGTATACGAACAGAGTAGTTGTACATAAATTGTGTAAGTTATTCGATGACATGGACATTGTGTGCAGTTCTGGTCAACTTGTTGCAGAAAGAAGGCAATAAAAAAACCCAGAAAGAACTGCGGATGCTGTAAATCAGGAACACAAACAAAGTTGCTGGAAAAGCTCAGCAGGACTGGCAGCATCTGTGAAGGAAAAAACAGAACTAATGTTTCAGGTCTGGTGACCCTTCCTCAGAACAGAAAAGAGGTATATGCACTAGAGAGGGGGCAGAGAAGTTTTACGAAGGCATTGCTAGGATTGCAAAATGCAGCCATGAGGGAAGATTGAATAGGCTGGGGTTATTCTCCTTGGAAGAGAAGATGTTGAGGACAGATTTGATTGAGATGTACAACATTGAGAGGACCCTGGATAGAGTTGATGGGCAGAATCTACTTATATTATTAGAGAGATCACGGACAAAAAGGCATAGATTTAAAGTGATTGTTAGGAAGATTCGAGGGGAGATGAGGAAAAGTGTTTTCACTCAGAGAATGGTGGGAGTCTAGAACTCACTGCCTGAAGGAGTAGAAGTAGAAACTTAATTAAAACGTGTCTGGATCTGGACCTCAAGCGTTATACCCTGCCGAGATATGTACTAAAATCTGGAAAATCAGCTCAGGCTATGTGGCTCATTTTATGGCTAGTACAATCATATTGGGCCAAATTATCTTTTTGTGTGCTGTGACCTTTCTATGATTCTACAGCAGTAATCCCATTGCTATTTGTTGATAAGACCAAGCAAAGTATTTAAAGTGGGACCAAATATATTTTGGATGATTGTCAAAAATATTTCCTTGTGCACATAATTATGAGGACAGCTGAAGGGATATGTAAACTAGAATATAGCTTGTATGTTCCAGAAGAATTGGGACTTGATTGTGTGTGATCAAATTTTACACAGTGTATGGTCAATCTGTGGTTTTGCCCAAGGTGAAGAAACTCCAAATTCTCCTATTCACTTTATAGGATTCTCAGATTGACAGCATCTGCTCAGAGAGAGCAGATGAATTTTTGTTAGCATTTTCTTTTTAAAAAAAGAATTCTACAGGTACTGATAAGTGGCACCCATACTTACAGATTTACTTACCCTACTCCCTCACTGTCTCACACTGCATACACGCTCACAATCACACAGACAGACATAGATGCATACAGAAAGCATACAAATATTTCTGCTCCTCAACAAATGCAAAAACAAACAGTGCACCTACACACTGATATTGTGTCATTTTCTGTTTCACTGGGTGGATAACATTAACCATGCATAAAACTGAAGAACCTGTAATAGAAGTAGTTTCCAGGAACTCATTTTGAAGATAAGATTGGAATGTATACACACCTATGAGCAGACCAATGCTCTGAAAGGACAGACAATACAAGTTTTTAGCACCAGACCAGAGAGTCAGGGGATAAATGTGATACAAGGAATTAACTAGCTCTGTCTGAAATAAATGAAATATCCAGGTACAAATTGAGAAAAGCAATAATTATACAGTCATAGTCATACATCATGGAAACAGACACTTTGGTCCAACTCGTCCATACCAACCAGATGTCCTAAATTAACCTAGTCCCATTTGCCAGCATTTGGCCCATAACCCTCTAGACTCTTCCTATTCATGCACCCATCCAGACGCCTTTCAAAATGTTGTAATTGTACTCGCCTCTGGCAACTCATTCCATACATGTACCAAGGTTTGTATGAAAAAGGTGACCCTCAGGTCCTTTTTTAAATCTTTCCCGTTATACTTATGCCCTCTAGTTTTGGACTTCCTGACTCTGGGAAGAAGACCTTGGCTATTCACCCCATCCATGTCCCTCATGATTTTATAAACCTCTATAAGATCATCCCCCAGCCACTGAAGCTTCAGGGAAAGTAGCCCAGCCTATTCAGCCTCTCCTTATAACTCAAACCTTCCAATCCCAGCAACATTCTTGTAAATCTTTTCTGAACTCTTTCAAGTTTAACAACATCTTTCCTATAGCAGGGAGAGCAGAATTGAACACAGTATTCTGAAAGTGGCCTCAACAATGTCCTGTACAGCCACAACAGGGCATCACAACTCCTAAAGTCACTGCACTGACCAATGAAGGCAAGGGTGCCAAATGCCTTCTTCACACCCTATCTACCTGAGACTCCACTTTCAAGGAACTACACACCTACACCCCTAGGTCTCTGTTTGGCAACACTTCCCAGGGCTCTACCATGTACAAGTCCTGCTCTGGTTTGCCTTACCAAAACACAAAACCTCGCATTTACCTAAACTAAACTCCATCTGTTACTCTTCAGCCCATTGACCTGTCTGAAAATTCATGAAAGAGATTGCATTATTTACAAGATATATTAATCAGCATATTCCATTTAATCAAACAAAATAATGTGTTGCTATGTTATCATCATGTTCACAAGATATTACTAGAATCAAAAATGTTTGATCTGTTTTACTAATAACCTCTTCAGGAATGTTATTACTCACCTCTGGAGCAGGTGGGACTTGAACCCAGGCCTTCTGGACCGCAGTAGGGATACTATCACTGTGCCACAAGATGGCTTATTTCAAAAAAATGTTTAATACACAAAGTCTCAAGGCTTTTAAGCTTGTTGTGCCCTCGATCAGAGTAACCAAGCCAGAATGATGTGGTCACAATTGTTTCTGATGAGGTCTTCTATGAGCAATTCTTAAGCTCATGGTCTCCAAATGTAACTGGATCCAGAGACTCATGTTCAAGTGCACCTGCTCCGGAGGTATGTAATAACATCTCTGCTTCCAAGTAATCAACCTGTTCAAAGTTCACAACCTTCCTGAACAAATACAAGAGTGTAATCCTTTGAACCAGTGCTGACGTTGATGCTGGTGCTGCTGCTGACTTGATTCCTGCACCAGGCCCACCAAGTTGAAGTTGTCATGCTCCGGTGCCATCTCTTGCTGCTGGGTCAACAGTCGCTGTTGTTGCTGATGCTGCCGGTTCCACGGCACCTGAGCTCCCCAAGGGAAAAACAAACTATAAGAGAACTGTAAAGAAAAGGTAGAAAGAAAATAAGAAAAAGAAGAGAGATGGTTGATGGAAAGCAGAAGACGAGCAGGAGCCTGAAAACTGTCACCGTTTTGGATTATTGTAATAACATCTGTGAACAGGATGATTAAAAAAAAATCTCTTTTCAAGGTATCAGGTATAACTGAATTTTTAATTTAAACTTTAAATCACATCTCAAATGTCTCCTGTTTCCAAACATGCTTAGAGGTATCTAAATACAGATAATTCTGTAACAGTGAAATGTACATTTAGCTTTAATGGGGAGACATTCTGTATTAAAAAGTTAAATGAATCCAATGATTTCTGGGAAGAAAATCATCAGCAAATTTATTTCCAGATTAAATAATTTCTATCAACTTTGTATTTCATGTGTTTGGAGCTGTGATAATCAAATCATATAAGCACTACAGTGTGGAAGCAGGCTACTTGGCCCATTGAGTCCACACTGGACCTCCAAAAAGCCTGACACCCAGACCGAGACCCATACCCACCTCTCATTCTATCCCTGCATTTCACACCCTTGACACTATGGGCAATTTAGCATAGCTGATCCACCTAGCCTGCACATCTTTGGACTGTGGGAGGAAATCCACGCTGACATGGGGAGAATGTGCAAACTCCACATAGACAGTCACCGGAGGATGGAATTGAACGCAGGTCTGTGGTGCTGTGAAGCAGCAGTTTTAACCATTGAGCCACCATGTGCCCCAGTTTTCCACCAGCTGCAAACACAAATGAACATTCTCTGTGCTGTGTAGTCATGCTGATATGTCCAACATTTAAACAACTGCGTTAATCCCTCTCTACATTTAAAACAGGTGAACAATCTCAGCTCATCTAAATTCACCACTGTGTCCAGAGGTTAGATGAATTGTTTCCAGTCTCAGGATTAATATCAATTGATGGCTTTTTCCTCATGAGAGCATGACAGCGATTCATCAGTTTGGTTGGTTCTGTGAGTCTTTCCAAGTCAGGATGGTTAATTATGCTGGGGAGTCACACAAACTTCAAGTATGAACTCTGACACATTGTAGAAAAGTGAATAAAGCGACAGCTAATTTTCATGATGCAATTTTTCATGTTCTGTATCCTTTAAGTGAAAGGGTTCTGTGAAAAGGGCAGACTTCAGGGAGGCTCCATACCACTGCTTGGACTCTCGTGTGTAGGTAATCAGTTCAATATGCTTGTACTGCAATGAAAACAAACTACTGTGGACGCTGGAAAAATTAAATAAAAACAGAAGGCACTGGAGAGAAAAACGCGGTTAATGTTTTGATTCCAATATGGAACTGTTCAAAAAAAAAAGAAGACAATTCATTTTGGACTCAAATGTTAACTCTATTTCTCTTCACAGATACTTCCCGATCTGCTGAGATTCTCTGGCAGAGAAAAAAGTGGCTGAAGCACTCCCGGTCAAACGTCCCTCTCATCCACAGACATTCTGGTTTGCCACTAGAACAATTTTCTGATGAAGGGTCTAGGCCCGAAACGTCAGCCTTTCTGCTCCTATGATGCTGCTTGGCCTGCTGTGTTCATCCAGCACTGCACCTTGTTGTCTCATTGAGCCTTTGCTAACAGGTCTCGATGGCGGTGAGTTTACCCAGAATGCCCAGCAGGTCAGAATGTCCTCTATCGATGGCAGGGGAAATGCAGTGCGTAGGTGCAGAACTGGTCAGCGCGCTCGGCGTCAGCGACCGTCACCAGAGCTGACGGAGAAGTCGGACGGTATTAGCGAGATGGTGAGGGGAAACCCGCCGCAAGGTGAGATTAGCTTTTGGGGCTGTAAATCCTTCGGAAAATTTCAGAAACGCATCGGGTAGGGCCTCAGATCGCCTCCTCAACCCCGAATCGCACGGGTCTCCAAGGCGCAGACCACCATTATCAGGGTGGGTGGCTTAGCGGCCGCCATTTCGGGCGCGGGAGGATATGGGCGGGTCGAAGCAGGTTTCCCGGGCAACTGGCCGTCATTTTGAGGGAGCGCTGCATGGCGGGGGGCGTGGCTTCCTTGGCCGGTGAGTGACGCGGGTTACCCTGGTAACTGGCCGCCATTTTGCGGCTTTTTCCTCGCCGCTGGGGGTCCGTCGCCTGGGCAACCACCCGTCCGCTGCTGCCATCTTATGAGAGGATCTGCCCTGAGGGTTGTCCGACATCAGATTCGCATCCGGCAGGAAAGGTAGGGCCTGAGGCACGGGGCGGGGGCTGCCGTGTTTTTTTTGTGAAAATCTTGTTGCAAAAAGAGCAGAATAACTTCAGAGATAGTAAGAACTGCCGATGCTGGAGTATGAGATAACACAGTGTGGAGCTGGAGGAACACAGCAGGCCAGGCAGCGTCAGAGGAGCAGGAAAACCAACGTTTCGGGTTGAGACCCTTCCTCAGAAATGCGGGAGGGGAGGGGTCTCTGAAATAAATAGAGAGGAGGGTTGGGCTGGGGAAGATCGGTGGGATGGCGATAGGTGAGTGCAGGTAGGTCGTGGTGGGGAATGGTCAGTGAGGTGGGAGGAGCGGTTAGGTGGGAGAGAAGATGGACAGGTCAAGGAGGATGGGGATGAGAGGGGAGCTGGTCATGGGATGAGGTCGGTGGAGGGGAGATTTTGAAGCTAGTAAAGTCCACATTGAGACCATTGGGTTGTAGGGTTCCAAGGTGGAATATGAGGTGCTGCTCCTCCAGTTTCCGAGTGGCGTCGCCTCTCGTGGTGGCCTCTTATGCCTGCCTCCTTGACCTGTCCGACTTTGTTCACCTGCACATCTGCTAATGTGGTATATACTGTATCTGCTGTTCCTGTTGTGGCCTCCTCTACATCGGGGAAACCAAACGGAGGCTTGGGGACCCCTTTGTGGAACACCTATGATTGGTTCGCAACAAACAACTGCACCTCCCAGTCACGAACCATTTCAACTCTCCCTCCCACTCCTTGAACGACATGTCCATCCTGGGCCACCTGCGGTGCCACAACGATGCCACCCGAAGGTTGCAGGAACAGCATCTCAAATTTCACTTGGGAACCCTGCAGCCCAATAGTATCAATGTGGACTTCACAAGCTTCAAAATCTGCCCTCCCCCGACCGCATTCCAAAACCAGCCCAGCTCGTACCTGCCTCCCACCTAACCACTCCTCCCACCTTCAGCCCCACCCCCATCTCTCCCTACTAGCCTCATCCCGCCTCCTTGACCTGTCCGTCCTCCCTGGACCGACTTATCCCCTCCCTAACTTACCTTTACTGGCTCCAACCCCGCCTCCTTGACCTGTCTGTCTCCTCTCCACCTATCTTCTCCTTTATCCATCTTCTATCCGCCTCCCCCTTTCTCCCTATTTATTTCAGAATCCCCTTCCCCTCCCCCATTTCTGAAGAAGGGTCTAGACCCGAAACGTCAGCTTTCCTGCTTCTCTGATGCTGCTTGGCCTGCTGTGTTCATTCAGCTCTACACCTTGTTATCTCTGCTCCTCACACCTCACTGACCAGCCCCCACCATTGCCTACCTGCACTCACCTATCACCACCCCACCTACCTTCCCCAGCCCCACCCCCCTCTATTTATTTCTGAGCTCCCTTCCACCCCTCCCCCATTTGTGAAGAAGGGTCTCGACCTGAAACGTCAACTTTCCTGCTCCTCTGATGCTGCCTGACCTGCTGGTTCCTCCAGCTCCACACTGGAATAAATTCAGAAATTCACTGAGGCTCCTTGGACAGTACCTCCCAAATGCGTAACCAGTTCTATCTCTAAGGACACGGGCAGCCGGCACCATCCTGACTCGGAAACATTATTGGCCATTTCTTCAGCATCTCCAGGTCAAAAATCCTGGAGCTCCCTCCCTAAAGCGGCGTTTGGGGGCCCACCTGCAGTGTTTCAAGATCAGGGATAGGCAATAAATTGCTGGCTAGCTGCTGAGTAACGTGAAAATTCAGCAGGGAACTGGGCTGTTAGTTGGAAGTGGAAGGGCGTGCAGGGAGGAGAAGAGGGGAGGGGTGGGAAACCGGGTGAATTACTCAATCGGACAAGAGAGATAGCAAGAACTGCAGATGCTGGAGTCAGAGATAACAGTGTGGAGCTGGAGGGGCACAGCAGGGTCAGGCAGCATCAGAGGAGCAGGAAAGCTGACGTTTCGGGTCGGGACCCTTCCTCAGACCCTCCTTCATCATGTCCGACCCGGAGCGTCAAATTTCCTAATCCTCACTTGGACACGAGGCTGGAGGAGTGCAGCGCTGACAGGCTGCTTGAAAAGCTGGATGCCATTGAGGACAAAACAGCCGACTTGGTTGGCACCCGGGCATCCCGATTCCCTCCACCACTGATGTTCAGCACCGACAGTGGGTGTACCATCCTGCCACGGTCACTTAGTGTGATTTAAATTGACTTCATTAAAATCTGACATTTGAAGAAGCCAGTCACCAGCGAAGGTGACTCTGGAACTGTGAGCGATTGCCATATGGACCCTCCTGATGTCCTTCGGGATAATAAATCTGCCCTCCTTGTCCGATCTGACCTAAGCGTGACTGTTGGTCCACAGCGGTGTTGCGGATCCATGAAATGGATATGAAATGACCTGGCGAGCCACTTACAAAAACAGAAGTTGCTGGAAAGTCTCAGCAGGTCTGGCAGCATCTGTGAAGAAAAGATCAGAGTTTAACATTTCAGATCCGGTGACCCTTCCTCAGAACTGTTTTTTATTTAGCAAGCAACTTAGTTCATGCACTGGCCTTCTCGGTAATGCCCACATCTCAACAAAGAATAATAAGTAAAATTGACTGTCAGTGGCATCCTACATGAATCTGTGGCCAAATAGCTGACGAATTCCAGATCCTGGAACGAGTGATCCTCACGAGCCTTTCAGTTCAAGCGCAACACAATGCCCATAACTCATAGAGTCATACAACACGGAAACAGACCCTTGTGTCCAAACAGTCCATGCTGATCATAATCCCAAACTAATTGAGCCCCACCTACCTGCGCTTGGCCCATGTCCTTCCAAACATTTCTTATTCATGTACTTATTTAAACGTCTTTTAAACCTAATTGTAGCCACATCCACCACTTCCTCTGGAAGTTCATTGCACACACAAATCATTCTCTGTGTAAAAAGAAATTGTCCCTCATGTCTTTTCTAAATCTTTCTCCTCTCAACTTAAAAATATGCCCCCTAGTCTTGAAATCCCCACCCGAGGGAAAAGACACTGGCCATTCACCTTATATATACCTCTCATTATTTTATAAACCTTTATAAGGTCACCTCTCAACCTCTTGTGCTCCAGTGAAAAATTCCCAGCTTACCCAGCCTCTCCTTATAACTCAAACCCTCCATTCCTGGCAGCATCTTGGCAAATCTCTTCTGAACACACTCCAGCTTCATGAAAGAAAAATAATAATTTCTTTAAAAACAGCAACTATTTCACAGCGAATAAAGTGAAAATCTGAAATTCCTTTGCGATTAGGTCAGCTGAGAATTTAAAACTGAGATTGCTGTATGTTTATGAAGTGAGGTTTTTAAATGTTATGGAATCAAGGCAGATGCTGCCTCACAGCACCAGAGACCCGGGTTCGATTCCAACTTCAGGTGACTGTCTGTGTGTAGTTTGCACATTCGCCTAGTGTCTGCGTAGGTTTCCTCCGGGTGCTTTACTTTCCTCCAAAGATGTGCAGGTTAGGTGGATTGGCCATGTTAAATTGTCCATAGTGTCCAGGGATGTGTAGGTTAGGTGGATTAGCCATGGGACATGCAGGGTTGCGAGGATAGGGGAGGAGGGTAGGTCTGAGTTGGTTGTTCTTCAGAGGGTCATTGGATTCGATGGGCCAAATGGCCTGCTTCCACACTGCAGGGATTCTATGATTAAATTGTAGATCAGATATTTCAGAATCTCAATGTCTGAGCTTGAAGTAATCTAGTTTTGTTTTGAAGGTGGGCTGAATTTTCTGTCTGGACTGTAGACTATCTCAAACTCCTGGAACATTTGCTAAAGGTAAGGTTTAGTCTAACAGATGAAAATTTATGTATTTGTGGAGTAGATGGCGGATGTTGACTTCATTTGTGAGGGGAGCTAAATTTGAGGCAGCAAGTAAAAGGCCAATTACTGTAGTTGGTGCTGTTTCTTACTCTGAACTCAAAGATGCAGAAGGATCTGACTGTCCATGTGCATGAATCGCAGAAGGTGAATATGGTATGTATAAAATGTAATTAGGCCAGCTAAGGTGAATACAAAATTAGGGAGGTTATGCTTAATTGTTACAGGGCATTGGCGAGACTGCATCTGGAGTATTGTGCACCTTATTTAAGGAAGGATGTAAATGCATTGAAGACATTTCACAGAAGGCATACTGGATAAATGTCGTGATTGGGGGAGTTGTCTTATGAGAAAAAGTTGGATAGACTATACTGAAGTGTAAAAGAGTAAGAAATGCTTGGTTGAATGGTATAAGATTGGGCCCTGACAGGGTAGATGTAGAGAGAATGTCTCCTCTTGTGGGAGAATCTAGAACATTTAAAACAGAGATGAGGCAAAATGTTTTCTCTGAAGGTCGTGAGTCTTTGGTACTTAAAAAATGTGTTGTGAGCAGAGTTCTTGAATGTTTTTAAGGCAGTGGGAGATAGACTCTTGTTAAAGGGGTGAAAGGTCATTGTGTTTAGGTGGGAATGTAGATTTGAGATTACAGTTAGATTGGCCGAGATCTTATTGAATGGCAAAACACGCTTGAGGGACTGAATGGCCTACTCCTTATTTGTATGTTAACTATGCAGTGAAGATCAGTGGTCTCTCTAGACAAAGGAAAAACTGCACTGTGACTCTGAAAGGAGCTCTTTGGCCACCAGAAGAGGGTGATCTCAGAGGTTTTGCACTAAAGTCTCCCCTGTGGCAGACAGCAGGGAGTCTCCTCGAAAGTTACCACAATTGAATCTGTCTCTATTCAAAAAAATAGTGGCAATCCTGGAGATTCTCAGGAATCATTCCTCTTCTTAAATAAGTGGTACAAGATAATGCAGCTGTGCCAGGAGTATAACCTCAACACATTTCAGAGTTTGCCTGGGCCACTATCTGCTTTTGAGCTACTGAACTTGTCTTTTTCAATTTCACTCTGGTTTTAGGTAGAATGGAGTTGAGGTATTCTTCTGAAAAGAGAACCTTGGTTGAGGAATTCTTCAATTTGTTCTGTTCAGTGAGCTCTGACTGTCTCCCTGTCCTTGATGAATTTACCCTCTGTGCTTTTGTCTAAGTGGGGTTCCAGAGTGCCTGGCCCATAGATTGTCTTCACAGTGCTGAAGAAACGCTGCCTTGTCATTGGTGTTCATGAGTTCTTGGATCTTCTGTGTTCCTTCTACCCACAATTCGATATTTATGTTGCAGGACTTAACATGAGGATGTCCTTAAACCATCCTGAAGAGACTGAATATAACCACCGACACAAGGGAGAGTCCAGCTTGTGATGGACTAAAATTGAGAAAGCCGGTTTGAGAATGCATGGAGCACATCAAGATACTTTGTTGTGTTTCTGAAGAGTCAAGGTGGAGGCACCTCAAGCTGAAAACACCCACCCGACCCTTTATGCCTTGCACATCCCATCCCATGAGGCAGCACCTAGAGATCGTGCAATTGTCACCTACTTCAGAATCATGTAAGGAAGCCATTCACGATCCTGAGAGACGGCTGAAGAATGAGAGAGTCAGGGCTCTGTTCTCAGTGTCAGCCAGGTTAGCCAGACAGCCAGCTACCATTTGAAGTACTTGTTCCATAAGCAGTGAGTGTGCATGGCCATCCAGCTGAGGAAATAGAAATTGGCTGGGCCTCGGAAGATAATGTAGTTTATGCTTTGATTTTATTTTCGGTCTGCGCAAAGGAGCTGGAGAACTGAACCCAGCCAGAGAAGAGGAAGAGAGAAAACTGAGAGGGAAAGAAGTAGATTATTTGGATTTCAGTACGTGCAGCTTGGAGATTGTCGGAAAGAGATTTACAACTTTAGGGAGAAATTGTTCCTTAGAAAGTAGAATTGTATGTTTGGAATCCCTGTTCTGTATTCACACTGACTTCTGTGATGTTTCTTTGTAGGGTGTCAAAAGAGAGAATTTGCAGACAGCAATGTCAAACCAAACATCAAGATGTGACAGTCCCTAGATTCATCAGGACCTGAAAATCATCACCCTTTGAGCGTGGAAGGAGAAATGTTTCTTTGTTCTGTCTGAGGGAAAAGATTTCAAATGTCAGTGTAACTGAAAAACTAAGACACAAACCCAAGTGTTCGAGTGAATTGGCTGGAAACAGCTTTAATCAATTACACAGGCCAAGCAAGAGTGTTCCAGTGAACTGATTGTGGAATGAGCTTTAACCAGTGACACTATTCAAAAAAAAATCACACCATTCACAGTGGGGAGAAACCATATTTGTGTTTTGTGTGTTGACAAGGCTTCAACTGATCGTCCAACTTAGGGAGACACACAAACAACTGCGCCATGGAGAAACCATGGAAATGTGGGGACTGTGGGAAAGGATTCAGATCCCCATCTGACCTGGAAATTCATCGACGCAGTCACACTGGTGAGAGACCGTTCACCTGCTCTGAGTGTGGGAAGGGATACACTCAGTTATCCAGCTTGCAGACACATCAGAGAACTCACACTGGGGAGACGCCATTCAGTTGCTCTGAGTGTAGGAAGGGTTTCACTCGATCATCCACCCTGCTGAAACACCAGCGAGTTCACACCGGGGAGAGACCGTTCACCTGCTCCGAGTGTGGGAAGGGATTCAACCATTCTTCCAATCTCCTGACACACCAGCGAGTTCACACTGGGGAGCGGCCTTTCACCTGCTCCAAGTGTGGGAAAGGATTCTCTGATTCGTCGACCCTGCTGAAACATCAGCAAGTTCACACTGACGAGAGACCTTTTATCTGCACAGACTGTGGAAAATGTTATAAAAGTTCCAGAGAGCTGTCATGCCATCAACGTGCTCACACTGATGAGAGACCCTTCAGGTGCTCTCACTGTGGGACAGGGTTCAAAACGATATCTGACCTCACTGTACACCAGCGAGTTCACACTGGAGAGAAACCATTTACCTGCTTTGAGTGTGGGAAAAGATTCACTTATTCATCCAACCTCCTGAGGCATCAGCGTAGTCACACAGATCTGAGAACTTTTCAATGTTCTGATGGTGAGGAGAGCTTTAAAAGCAGCAATGACTTGCAGACACACCAATGCACTGACACTGGAGAGAGTCCGTTCTCCTGTTGTGATTGTGGGAAGGGATTCACTGATTCACCCAATCTGCTAAAAGATCAGCAAATTCATGTTGTTGAGAAGCCACTTATCCACTCTGAGTGCGGAAAGGACTCACTTGGGTGTTCACTCTGCTGCAAGAGTAGTGAGTTCATTCAAAGAAGAGGCCATCCACTTGATCCCTGTGTGGGAAGGAATTCACTCATTCTTCCCCCCTGCTGAGACTCCAGTGAGTTCACATGTGACCGCAGGGGTTGAATTCTATTTCTGCTGCTATTCATCTCATTGAGAGCTGAACATGGGGGTTAATGTTGTCATTTTGTAAATGGTTTGGATGTGAATATAGGTGGAATGATTAATAAGTTTGCAGATGGACAGCAAAATTGGTGGTGTAGTGGGCCGTGAAGAAGCTTATCTCAGAATACAGCAAGAACTTGATCAGACGGGCGGAGGAGTGGCAAGTGGAGTTTAATTTAGATAAGTGTGAGGTGTTGCATTTTGGTAAAGGAAATCAGGGCAGGACTTCTACACTTAATGGTAGGTTCCTGGCGAGTGTGGCTGAGCAAAGAGATCATGGGGTGCAGGTTCATACTTCCTTGAATCTGGAGTCTCAGGTAGACAGGATAGTGAAGAAGACATTTGCTATGCTTGCCTTTATTGGTCAGTGCATTGAGTATAGGATTGGGATGACATGTTGCGCCTGTTGAGGACATTGTTTAGGTCACTTTTGGAATACTGTGTTCAGTTCTGGTCTCCCTGCTATAGGAAAGATGTTGTTAAACTTGAAAGGGCGGAAAAAATTTACAAGGATGTTGCTGGGATTGGAGGGTTTGAGTTACAGGGACAGGCTGAATAGACTGGGGCTATTTTCCCTGCAGTTCCTGAGGCTGAGGGGTAACCTTATAGAGGTTTATAAAATCATCAAGGGCATGAATAGGGTGAATAGCCAAGGTCTTTTCTCCAGGGTAGGGAAGTCTAAAACTAGAGGGCTTAGGTTTAAGGTGAGAGAGGAAAGATTTAAAAGGGACCTAAGGGGTAACTTTTTCATACAGAGGGTGGTGCATGTATGGAATGAGCTGTTAGAGGAAGTGGTGGAGGCTTGTACAATAACAATATTTAGAAGGCATCTGGATGGGTACATGAATAGGAAGGGTTTAGAGGGATATGGGCTAAATGCTGGCAAATGGAACTAGATTAATTTCGGATATTTGTTCAGCACGGACGAGTTGGACCGAAGAGTCTGTTTCCATGCTGTACAACTCCAGTGCTGAGATAGGGAAAAAAATGTGGCCCAGCTGCTCTCCTCTATGTATCAGAGCTCCTAGACATGGAACACAAGTTCCTTTACAACTGGGTTTTGAGTCATCAAAAACAATGGACAGCGATGGAAATGTGTTGTCAAGGCAGAGATTGGGGTCATAATGGGATCTGTTCCTGACTGAAAATGAAACAGTAGATTTAGGTTTCTAGTCTGTAAAAAAATGTGGCTATTACGGTCTGAGGAATTAAAATGATTGCGTGATATTTTAGTTCTCCGACTGTACATAAATAACAACAACTTAGAGCTTTTCACGTTGGAAAACCTCCCAAGGTGGTTTATAGTTGACTGTAAGCGTTGTTGAGGTAGATTTTAGGAAAATGAAAAATTTAGGGAGAGAATTCTTGAGTTTGATATCTTGGTAGCTGAAAGCACAACCACAGATGTTGGAATGATGTAGGTAGGGGATACGAAAGGGTCACAATTGGAGCAGTGCAGGGCTGTTGGAGGGCTGTATAGGACCAGATGAGGTTCAAGAGATTGTCGCGGAGAGAGTGACTGCCTTTGTGTAACTTCAAGTGCCGAATGAGATCCATGCAGGCCAATGCCTTGCTGTGAGAGATTGTTTGCTGCCTTTAAATGGATGACAGACACTATGTTTGTGGACTTAAAACACAACACTGACCTCCACCAATCTGCTTTGCATAGCAGATTAGGAACAATGATGTGATGGTGGTCCAGGAGGGGAAGATGGCGTAAGGAGATATGGAACTGGTAACTCAACTCAAAGCGCTCGCATTTCTACCCATACACTGTCCCATCTGCTGACATTCTGCAGCTTCACCCACCAGCTGAGTCTTCTCCTTGCTCCTCCTGTAGGATCCAGCACATCACCATTATCCCTGGGTTCCTTGCTGGCGAGCACTGAAGGTCACCTCCAGCCAAGTCCAGATGCTGAAACATATCCAACATTTGTATAAAACAAAGAACAGTGGATGCTGGAGATCTAAAGTGAAAACAAAGTGCTGGGGAAACTCAGTAGGTCTGGCAGCATCTGTGGGAAGAAAGCAGAGTCTGGTGACTTTTCATCTGACAACACATGGTAGTGGCGTGACTCTGGTCCTGGCATTCCTACACCTCACCGGGAGGAGCCGAGTTTGGAAAGGGTCCCTCTGGTTTTCCCCTAATCCATCCCTTTAATCTTTCAGTTCAAGGAATGAACACGTTGGAATTGTTGCAATCTGAATCCATCAACATTCATCATGCTATAGGGGTGGGGGGGAATGTTCACAGTTTAATATTGGAATCTGGGGGATAATGTTTACTGTTTTATGTTGGGGTCTAGGGAGTACTGTTCTTGTTTTTATTTGGGTCTAGGCTGCAGCTAGACTTGTATCCCTTGTTGGCTTGTCAGAGCTCTGATTAAAGGCTTTAATATCAGGTTGATAACTGACTTCTGTCTGGGCAGGCAACTCAGGACGTGGCAAGATGCCTCAACAATAATGATGGGTGATCATGGGTATAAAACGAACGGGGTTACTCCCACCAATGCTGTTTATCTTGAAATTGACTCAAAAATCACAGTGCTGCATTAAAATACTCCCAAACTTCTCAACCTGAATCTTTTGTCAGTTTGCTTCTATTCAATGTTTTAACTGAGGATTTAGTTTGCTTGTTACTTTTTAAAGGCAGCTCTGAACCATCAGTTTCTCCATGTATCCTGGTGTTTGAGGGGATGTTGTGTGAGTGCAGAGTCAAAAGAAGTTTGATAACTTTCTGGACAGGAGGTTTGTTGATGATATGAAACCTCATAGTATTTCAAGTAACAGGAGAGGCTTCACAGTCATCCTGCCTGCTGAGACACCAGCGTCATAGTAAGTGATTACAGTGGTTGCATTCTGTTGTAATTGCTGCTGTTAATCACCTTCAGGACTAAACTATGCTGACGGTTTGTTTCTGAAGTTAATTGCCACCCTTGAACTCATCCCCTTGCCCCCACCCCATCCCAAGTGAGCTGGAGTTTAATATTCAGAATCAATTTCAAATAGAGTCATAGAGTCATGCAGTGCAGAAATAGACCCTTTGGTCTAACCAATCCATGCCGACCAACTTTCCCAAACTAAACAGCCTTTGTAAATATTTGTCTTCCCAAATAAGTGTTTAACAATCAATTGGTTGGACCTCAGAACGGATGTTCTGTGGGGAGGATACTACTGAAGGAACAGTACTTCAACCTGGATTCCAACAGTATGATGGCCATCCAAAAATGATTCCTGTTGGATAAAATCAAACCCAGTTTATTCTCCACTTAGTTATCTGACTACCCCATTTTGAGCAGTTTGCAGTGCTCTCTCTGAAAACACAGACATCAGGCTTCCTTCCCTCATTTCGCAATCGTTGATTTAAGATTTGTTTCTTCCAATTTTTCCAAAATATTCTGTGGGATGTTCCAATCTGTCTTGCATCCACACCCCTTTGAACAATGTTTTAACATTTGCTTTTCAGTAGGAGACAAAGTAATGCAATGATTAAAGGGTGTTTTTCCTTGTGGGGAATGAGGTGGGCAGTTCCTATCTTTCCCACCACCTGCAGCAGTGAGGATGCTCGGGTTTGATGGCGCTGCTGGCGAAACTGGTCATGAGTTTTTTTTTAATTATTCACTCGTAGGACATGGGCCAACATTTATTACCTGTCAAAATAAAAATTGAAAGAACTTTGGATGCTGTAAATCAGAAACAAAAACAGAAGTTGCTGGAAAAGCTCAGCAGGTCTGGCAACACTGGACTCGAAATGTTAACTCTGATTTCTCTTCACAGATGCTGCCAGACCTGCCGATTTATTACCTGTCCCTAGTTGCCTTTGAATAGATGGTAGTGTGCAGCTTTCTTACACTGCTGCAGTCCACATGCTGTTCCAGGGTTTTGACCCAGTGATACTGAAGTAATGGCGATATATTTCCAAATCAGGGTAGTTGAGTGGCTTGGAGGAGAGCTTGCAGGTGATGGTGTTCCCATGCATCTGCTGTCCTAGATGGTAATGATTGTAAGTGTGGAAAGTGCTGTCTAGACGTGTAATACGGAGGGATACCCAGGTGGGAGGCATGAACTGGATTAGCCGCCCTGTTATGAATTGAAATGGGCTGTGACCCATTTATACTGGGACTACAGCAATAGACAGTGCATCTTGTGGATGGTACTCACTGCTGCCACTGTCTTGTGGGTACTGAAGGGGGTGAATGTTCAAGCTGGTGGACAAAGTGCTGGTAGTTGGGCTTCTTTGTCCTGGATAGTGCCAAACATCTTGAGTGTTGTTGGAGCTGCACTCATCAAAGCAAGTGGAGAGTATTCCATCAAACATCTGACTTGTGGCGTGTAGATGATGGGGAGACAAGAGTTGAGTTATTCGCTGCTAGTTCCTAGCATCTGACCTGATCTTATTATCATAGAATTTATAGCTGTTCCAGCTCAGTTTGCCTTCAATGGAAACCCAAGATGTTGACAGTGGAGGATTCAATAGAAGTAATGTCATTGAATGTCAAGAGCAGATATTGACATGTTGTCTTGTAGGAGATAGTCATTGCCTGGCACAAATGTCACTTGCCACTTAACTATGCAAGCCTGACCGTTGTCCAGATCTCAATGATCACGTATCTGAGGAGTCTCTTTGGAGGTGGTAGCACAATGCTAACATCACTGGACTAATAATCCAATAAATAATTGGCTCATGTTTTGGAGTCATTATTTCACATACTACCAATGGAGAAAAAAACTGGAATAAAATAAACTAGCATAACGTGACTATAAATCCACTGTCAATTGTTGTAAAAATGCATCAGGTTCACCAACTTCCTGTAGGGAAGGAAATATACCATCCTTACCTGGTATGATCTACATATGACTGAAGACGTTGTTTGATATCCTCTGGGCAATTCGGAATGGATAACAAATGCTGATTTAGCCATTGAGTCCACATTCCTTGAACAAATAAATAAAATATTAGTCACAAAGTGGTCCTGAACATTGTGCAATCATCTGTGAATGTCCTCACTTCTAACCTTATACAATGGAGTCATTGATGAAGCAGCTAAGAACTTTGGACCTAAGACACTATGAGGAATTCCTGCAGGAATGTCCTGGGTCTGGGTTGACTGAGCTCCAACAACAGCAACCACTCTTTTGTTAGGAAGGTGGAGATTCTTTCTCATGCAATATCCTTGATAATTGGTAGTTGTGAACTTACAGGATACTGTTTTTTAAAATTTGTTCCCAGGATGAGAGTGTCACTGGCTAGGTTTGCTTTTATTGCCCCCTCCCTAATTGCCCAGAGGGCAGTTAAGGCTCACCCAAATTGCTGCGGGTCTGGAGTCACATGTAGGCCAGACCAGGTAAGGATGGCAATTTCCTTCCATAAAGGGAATTTGTGAACGAGATGGGTTTTTCCTGACAGTCGGGAATGGATTTATGCTTATCATTAGACTCTTGATTCAAATTTCATCCAGATTTGAACCCGGGTCCCCAGAACTTAGGGGCTGATGCTTCACAGCGCCAGGGGCCTAGGTTCAATTCCACCCTAGGGCACTGTCTGTGTGGAGTTTGCACATTCTCCCTGTGTCTGCGTGAGTTTCCTCTGGATGCTCCCCTTTCCTCCCACAGTCCAAAGATGTGCAGGCTAGATGGATTGGCCTTGCTAAATAGCCCATATTGTTCAGGGATGTGTAGATTAGGTGGGTTATAGGGGGATGGATCTTGATGGGATGCTCTGAGGGCCATTATGGACTGGTTGGGCTGAAGGGCCTGTTTCCACACTGTAGGGATTCTAAATATTAACGTTATCTGGGTTTCTGGAATAACAGTCCACTGCTTATACCACAAGTCGATCACCTCCTCAGTGCCTTTGATTTCTCACCTTTGACTTAATTTGTTCCAAAGCTGTGCAGTTTATGCACCCTGAAATTATTAATTTACATCCTTTTTACTGATTTTAAGTTGATTATGCACCATTTTACTAACAAACCTACTGGAATGTTTTGAGAATGTAACTAGTAGAATAGATAAGGGAGAACTAGTGGATGTGGCGTATTTGGATTTTCAGAAGACATTTGATAAGGTGCGTATCAAAGGTTAGTGCAAAATTAAAGTACACAAGATAAGGGTAATGTATTGGCATGGATTGACAATTGGTTGACCGGTAGGAAACAGAAAGAGAATAAATGGGTCATTTTCCGTGTTTTGTGCAGTGACTAGGGAGATACTGCAAGGATCACTGCTTGGGCCCCAGCTATTCATGATATTTATACATGACCTCAAAGAGGTAACCAAATACAACTTTTTAAAATTTGCTGATGACGCAAAATTGGGCAGAGTTGTGAGGAGATGCAAGGAGACTTTAAGGTGATTTAAACATTTTGAGTGAGTGGTGAAGCAAATGGCAGATATATTACAACATGACTAAATGTGAAGTTATATACTTAGGTGTGAAAAGCAGAAAGGCCGAGGAATACTTAAATGGTGAAATATTGGGAAATGTGGATGTACAAAGGAATCTTGATGTCCTTGCGCACCAGTGAATGAATATTGACAGGTGCAGAAAAACAATATGGAAGACAAGTGGCATATTTGCCTTCATTGTGAGAGGATTTGAGTTCAGAAATAGGAATGCCTTGCTTCAGTTAAACAGGGCCTTGGTGAGACCATACCTAGACTGTTACATGTTGCTTTGTTCTCTGAACCTAAGAAAGGATACACTTGCCATAAAGTGAATGCAGCAGCAGTTCACCGAACTGATAGTGGTGTTGGCACGACTGTCCTATGTATTAACATTGATATAGATGGGAACTATGAATCACTTAAATTTTTTTAACTTAATATCTACTTGGTATCTTAGTTGGTTAATCTTCCACAGAGCTCATTGTGTGAGAAATAGCTGACTGGATTACTTTTTCCATGAATATCATGCATTACTCAACCAGATATGCATTGTTCTGACTGCCAGTAGAACTGTGGGACCAAGTGGATGGAGCAACCTGAGAGCCATCACAGGCATAGTGGGTCAAATGATTTCTATTTGTTTTTATCATTCTATAAAACAGTGCATATTTAGGATGGTGAGAGACGGGCAACTGGAGAGGGTAACACTGAATCAAGCCAGAGTCAGCATTTTCAAAGAGAGCAAGGAATCTGTATGTGTAGATCTGAACAGAGAAAGACACAGACACAGACCAGTGAGCATAAGACAGAGTACAATCAGAATCAGGGAAGGGCAGTAACTGTACTTAAGGAGCTTAATTTTGTATCAGCAGGTGAGAGCTTCAGAAACACTTGACATAGGCACTAGGCTCTGAATTAAGAACCTTCAGGACTCTCACCTGCAGCTTTGGATTCATTACTTAAGAGGAAGGAACAGTTTAATAGCCACCATCTTTATTCAAGGTTAACCAGCAGTTGCGCAGTCATCTTGGTTGGGGAATAGAGAATGGACAGGACTTCAGGATTTCAATAACCAGGAGAGAAAGCAATTGACACATTGGCTTTATTTGCACTTGGCACACAGGATACTGGAGAACTGAAACAAGCCAGAGCAAAAAGAGGGAGGACACTGGGACTGGAGGAAAAGGTAGTTACA